TATATATAAACAAAAAACTTGAAATGAAAATATATCGTTCTGAAATAAGTTTAAACTGAAGTACTGCAGAAATAAATGTAAAAAAAAGTTTTTCCCTATTTTTTTCAGTAATTGAAATAAAACTGATATAAAATAAAATCGAATATATATATATAAATAGCCTATTAGAAGAAAAAATTTCGATGAAAAATAAATTTTTTTATTTTGGCGCCTAACTGAAATAAGTTTACATTGAAATAGGCTACTAAAGTTACTAAAACTAAAGCTGAAATAAAAGTAAATGAAAACTAATTATTTTGGCATTTGAAATAAAGTTGATCTAAAATAAAATACAATTAAATATATAATAAAACATCTGACGAAAAACTTACATTTAAAATGATTTATTTCAGTTATTTTTGTTTAAGTACTAAATATAGTAAAACCAAAATAACAGTCAATTACAACTGTATAGAAATCTATACAAAAATAAAAATGTATAAGTAATTCAAAATATTAATATATACTATAATATTGTATAAATATGACTAAAATAACACTGGTGTTAATACTCTTCTAAATGATCAGACTCTTTTCAGTTTTCACTTGTCAAGATGCTAAAGCATCCACAGAAAGGAACCAGGATATAAAAGACACTTAGGATAGCAAACAAGCAACCAATGCACCCTAGCAACCTCATAGCAACATGCTAAAAACATTCCAACTTTAGCAAAAGCCCAGCAACAGCCTGTCAGCCTCCAACAACACACCGACATCAAGAGAGTTAGGAGAGTTTCTGCTGTTCCACTGACGCTGATTGAAGAGTTACATCTCTGTCTATTACATTCTAATTACACATGTTTGTTATGATTTCTCTTGGTAAATGGATCAGCATTGATTTACTGGATGTGCCACATATCCATATAATAACCTTGGGTCAAAACAACCCAACCGCTGGGTCAAAACAACCCAATAGCTGGGTCAAAACAACCCAACCGCTGGGTCAAAACAACATTTATGCTAAATTGAAGTCGAATTTAACGTATTAACTCATTAATTAATTGTTAATAATTAACGGATTAGCTCATTAACTCACATAACTCATGAAATTAAATTTTAATGCGCATTAAAGGGATATTTCACCCAAAAATTAACATAATATTGTGTCACGAGAAAGAAAAAAAAAGTCACTTTTGTGACAGCGTGATCTATCATATATCATCATATAGTGTAATAATGTTAGGATATTTTTTTAATATATACTACTATTAATTAGACTTGTACCGGTATTCGGTAATGCGATATATCACGGTAATGAATATGCACGATATTGTTATCGTGGGCACTTCTAAATACCGTGAATAATTATATATTACAAATTATTCCTAAGAGTAAACCCTTATATTTCTGTATTGCTTTATTGCATTTAAATGTTCAGTTATTTTTGTTATAAGAAAAATGTTATTAAACCTGTTATACTGTATTATGACAGCACTTTTTAAAACTAAATTTCAATATCGTGATAATACCGTATACCGTGATAAAAGCATTATCAATTAATCGCAACATGAAAATTTGATACCGGCATATCCCTACTATTAATATATGTTATGTATATATTAGTAGTATTTTTGCTAAATTTAAGTTTTATTTAAGATTTGATAGAATAAAATAGATGAATATCCATTATATTAATATGCATTAAACCGATATTTCAGTAGTATTTTTAGTATTTAAGTAGTATATGCTACATTTGTTCTAAATTACCATTTAAATTATTGTTTAATAGAATCAAATACATGAATTTGCATTGAATGTAAGAGTATTTTTTTTGCATGCACATTTAAATTGAAAGCATTTTGTTTTATTTAACTTTAAATTAAACTTGTAACGGGGCTGACGAGACGTGAGACGTGCGGATCCATGTGCGATGTATATATTTATATTCATATAATTTACATTATATATAAATATATTTAATACATAAACGTAACATATTTTTCTTAAATATATACATGCATGGGTGTGTATTTATATATACATAATAAATATACACAGTACACACACACATATACTATGTGAACAAAAACGTTTATTTTGGATGTGATTAATCGCGATTAATTGTTTGACAGCACTAAATTAAACCTAAATTTAGCATCAATGTAGCAAAATACTACTAAAACATACATAATACAAATGTATCATTATATATAGCGTATAATAAAATGTAAAAAAACTAAACATTTTTGGGTGAACTTTCCCTTTAATACACTGCTTTGTGCCCAGGAAGAAAAAAGTCAACATCTGTGAAGCATCATGTAGTGCCATATTATTTGTTATTGTTACTAATGGAAGTTTTCATAACATATTAACTCTAATTCAGCAGGACAGAGTTTATATTTAAATGAGTTACAGTGCTGTGCTGGAACCAAATGTGATTATCCAATCAGAGGCCTTAGAGCCGCCCATGTGACTCTCTCTCGGCACAGCTGCACTCAGCATGTTACACAATTACACACATATCCAGAATATTGTTTGATTTATTTTTAAACATTTCAATTTTATGTGTGTTTTGCGGATACTTTTCAGCCAAACTCCTGAAGGCTCGGATTTATTAATCCATTACAGAGAGACAGAAATATCATATTTCTAGTTTTATGTGGAAGTCTGTTTGGTCACACGACCAAACCGAGAGCGAGAAACCCGAAGCATGTCGCATTAGTTTGTTCGCTAAGTCAGTCATGTGATCAGATGCATGATAAAGCAGGTGTAAAATCCTGAGAAGTTAGTTTGCAAGCAGAAGAGATGGGTTTGGATGAATCTGGAGTGGCCGGTGGCTCCAGAAGCGGTCAGTATCATGTAAATGTGTCCTTTTGTGAATGTCAAAGGGATGTGCTTGATCGCGCTCTCACTGTACGGCTGTATGTCCACGGTTCCTGTGACGTCACGCGGCTCATTGTGTGTCTCTGCGGCTCACAGGAAGTCTTTGCTGGTTTGTGTTGTTCTCTCACAAGCTCTCTGACTCCTGTCATCTCCATCCAGACCCCCGGCAGCTCTGGACCGGACGCCAGAATAACGCCACTGTCACGAGACCCTGAGAACACACATTTAACCATACAATAATCATCAGCAAAACCTCCTGAGGGCACGTCTTGGCCGTATTACACCCTAAAATCAGAAGAAAGAAATACAAAATGATTTTTTTGCACGAGGATTTATTATATTCTACACAAAATGAAGCTTATTTATTGGACAATTTTTGTTTTATCTTTGCATTGTGACATTGTGTTTTTTTTCTTTTTGTCTTTTGTTCTGCCTTTAATTTATGCTGAATTTAAGTTTAATTTAAGGTTCAATACAATAAAATCGGTAAATCTCATGAAACCTTCTAAGAACATGTCTGGGTCAAATTAGAAATAAGAAATAAAATTTTGGCACACAGATCTAAAAGGAGGTTTATTTATAGAACAAAAAGATATTTTTGCATAATTTTCATGGCAATTAAGCACATTTCTCCCCTATATTCATATCAGTAATGTGAGTATATGCAATTATATATGATATATAATAAATTCAAAGTATATATAATAATTGTTATAATATTTAAATAGCTAAATTTGAGTTTAATCAAAGGTTAAATAAAATAAAATAGGTGAATCTAAAAAAAAAATAAAAAGAGATATACTATAAAATGAAATTAGATATTTAAAAATAGGTATTCTGCAAAAAATTAAGCCTATTACAAGACAACAAAAATTATTTATTAAAATTATTTTTATGACAGTTAAGCCATTTCTCTCTTATTCTCATTATTGTAATGTGAACAAATGAAATCAAATCTATGCTAAATGTAAGTTTAATTTAAGGTTTATTTAAATAATATGGGTAAATCTCATGAAATCTTCCTTTTAACTTGAAATCTGAAAAAATTAATTATATTGTGCAAAAAAAAAAGCTCATTTATAAGACAACATTTTTTTTATTTTGACATTATTTCTATGACCATTAAGGTATTTCTCCCCAGTCATAATTGTAATGTGACTATATGAAATGATATTATGTATTACTATTATATATAGTATTTGTATTTTTGGTCTGTCTTTATGCTTATAAGTCAAGTTTAATTTAATGATTAATTAAAAAAAAGGGGTGAATCTCAGAAAACCTTCCAAGAACATGTCTGGTCATATTTTACCCTGAAATCAGAGATAATAAATTATATTTTGCACAAAATGAAATTTTTATATATATGTATGTATATATATATATATA